TTAGGAAACCTACCTAGTATACTGATTATAGTATTACTAGGCTTAAAACAATAAATTACGATTTCTCATTACCGACTCGATGCAGAAAATATCGGTATATATATCAAGACTCGCGAGCTTAAATCTCTGATTTTCGGCTCAGAGCCCGCGAGCTCTAAGCCCGCGATTTTAAGGCTCGCGGGCACGAGCCTAAATGTCCGGCCCGCTCGGCTCGTTGGCAAGGTCTACTACCTGATGAGATACGGCTACGGTAGGGGCTGCGGTATCGATGTGTGAGAGGGATGAGGAGTGAGATTGCTGAAGGGGAGAGATTCTACCTAAGCTATGGACTGCGGTGAGTCGGCAGTATCATATGCCATACAAACACTACCCAGGAGTGGTTCATCAAGGCGTAGCATGTCGTCAACAACATGCTCGTCGTCTGAACATACGCGCTGGCTAACCGGAGAAGCTAAGGGATTATCTGGAGTTGCTTAGTTAGCCTTCTGGCAAGTTCGCGGATAAGCCGCCAAATGCCCGACTCCGACTTCTTGCTCTTCCTTATATACCCGTCGCTAAGCGAGAAAGAAGGTGGCCATTTCCTGTATAGCCCTAAAAGACTTCTAGTTACACGACCTCCAGAAAAACATGTGTATAGGCAAAATACCCTGGCTGCTACCGATGGTCTTGTCGAAGTTTCCAAACAGAGATTGTTCTTCTCATTGCCAGTGTTCTCGAAAGGAAAAGGGATATACATGCTCTGTCTCAAGTCTGCGCAGGTCTTCACTTACTGCTCGATGGCGCCCTCTACCTACACGATTCTCATTATTCTGGTAGTACCGCTTTTTTCTGGGCCGCCCGCCATAGTGCTTTCAAAACTGCGATAAAAGTTTTTGCAGCGAGGTTTCAGCAGAAGACCGTTTTGACTAAAGTTGGCGACTCATCCGCTTCCAACGCAACATCAGGCGAGTATGCATCAGGGTCCGTTGACTGTGACGCATAACAATAGATTGATCTGCCACAGTCTGCATGCGCTATCGCTCAGCCATTAAGCATCAAAAGATGTGTTGATTTGCGTTCAAGCGACCTAGGTCAAATGACCTTGTCGATCGGTGCAGAATATAGGCATCCTGATTTTTTGGAGTTTTTGGTCGAAGCCCACTGTAATGGAAAGATCTAGAATCGCCATTATTTCATGCCGTGCCAAACAGATGTCTCGGCGTAGCAAGGCGTTTGCTTCAGGCGAGAGCTAATCCTAATGCACAAGCTAATCCGAATGAATTGTTGATCTGCTGAGCAGCCACGTACGTTCAATTCGAGTTTGTGAAGCTGCTCAGAGAGTATAAAGCTTTCCCCCAACCCAGGAATGCGCCTGCGTATCGGCTATTGCCGGTACAGGTGGCTGCATAGAGGGGACATTACGATGTGCCTGCATTTCCCTGTGGAGCTCTCGAATTGGATTCATCAACTGGGCCAGAATGTGAAAATCACCGATTTGCTTCTTTACATCGCCGCTATGTGTGAAAGACCTTTTGAAACAGCTCTTGACACGGAGTCACGCCAAAGATGCTATTTCGCGGGATGAAGTCAGGTCCGTGTCAGATAAATGTTTAACGCTTTTATGCAGATCAGCCGCAAAAAGTCACTATCGAGCTGTACGACACTTTCTGAAATGAAATGCGGGTCCAAATCTCCATCAGGGCTTAAAGATGAAGCTAGACCTTCGTATAAGATAGTTCAAAATGGACATGTCATGGTTGTCAAACTCTTCCTGGACTTTGGGGCGAATCCAGATACGCTCGACTCATACGGGCGACCTGGGTTGACTTTATTTGCCACACCCCACATTTTTCCGATTGCTGGTGTACCGAGATGCCCATGTCCTTGACGTGAAGACGTTAGGGTTGTCTTTGGCATGAGTATCATAGCGCTTTCTACGCCCAGTACTTCCATCTACTCTACCTTTGTAGTCTAGGCACTAGCCAAATGATCATTTGCAGGGAGCAGCTCCGACCCAAGAAAGTCCCATTTCATGAAGGACTCGTAGTCTCCCTCCAGAGAAAGCCTCATGGTCAGCCACATCAGAGAAAATCAAGGGCCAGGACTATTCGCACCAGCAACATTTCAGTAACTCCGTAGCGTTTTGTGTTATATTCATTATACATGTCACTTAAATCCCTAATCATATCTCTAGTAAGGTGCGACCGATTCTGTTCTTAGATTGCAGAAGAATAGAGCTAAACTGGATCATGTACGCAGACATTGTGGATAGTTTAAGATCGTAGAATAAAATACTACCCAAAACCCTCGAGAACAACTTTTATAGTACAAAATACTCTATACTCGTCTGTAATAGCTATAGTCTGGTCACGAGAGAAGATTAACTAGATAGTCTTCTTATATTGAGTATAGAATACCCCGGTGTGCTCAAGGCTAGTAAGAAAGTTTTGCTATGTTGAAGTTCAGTCGAATTGAGTCATGTCAAGGTAATCACCCTATTACCTCCAGTACACCTCGTCAAAGACCCTGCAGCGTTTCACACAGACAGACAGGTGGTATTATTGCTGTGGTGGATGATAGTTTTCCAACAATCTAGAGTCTCTAAGATTGCGAAGCAAGTTCCAGATAGAAACGACTATGGTAAAGTTCCAACGAGGCCGAGCCTCCTTCAGGAAGCCACTTCTCGTCAATTGGAAGAGGCATTGAGCTCCGTTTTGGATCAAGGGATTTCCAATGAACATATCATTAAGCGAATCACTACCATATCCCACGTCTTTCCCTGCTACCAGTCTTTATGTTTATTTGTGAACTCTCCAATAGACCCGACATTGATTGAGATGCTTTCGCTGTACACAATCCTTCCATATGCCGGGGATTATTTCTATCCCAACTAGCTACAGTGGCCCTGTTTATAGGCAGGTTATTGTCTGGGAGACTATCACCAATGTTGTCTGGGAAACTGTGAATGTGACTACGACTGTCTTACCCAGTGAATATACACAACCCACAGCTGCACCAGTAGCAGTCACCGCTGTTGCTTATGTTGAGATAGCTTGGCGGTCAGGCGCGTCAAACCAGCGTGGTGCACGCCTACGCACACACCACCACAGTAGTTTAGATAGCACCTCTCACCAGTTACAATTCCACCACTCCACCATCCCTTTCTCCCCTCTTTGGTCAGTGCTACGTTTTCCGTAGCTCTCTGATAGCTTAGATCATGATGATTCACATATCTGTATTAGCCAGATGGTTTTCCTTGACACACTATCGCATGTTCTAACACTGGATTCGAACTCGCAGCTCCGATATTTACTCTAGGCGATGTAGTTCGAAAAACCCATTATGGAGAGAACCACACCGAGTTTTCCATATTGAATCCCCGAGAGCCGTTATTTTGATCATTTTGCTCTCGATACCAGCTCTTGAGATTGTGTTGATTGTGCTAATTTTCGCGCACTTTTCTCTTTTTTAGCTTTAGCTGCAGCTTACTCAGCATTTGTAGCCTTAACAATATCACTTGTACCTCCGATGGAGACACAGTATCGCGGTTGAGTAGTGTCTTCAGTTGGCGACTAGAGGTGCGCTGGGAGAGAGGGGCTGTAGCCGCCATCACCTTGCAGGTTGCTAGGTCAGCCTTTCTGAAATTTTCGCGCGCCGCCTTGAAGTAGTTCTGGTAGCGCTGAAGCTTCTGGTGAAATTTAAGCTCATTGTGACGGCTGCGATATAACCTTGCTCCGATATAGCGATCATATTAAGGCGCCTCTGGTAGCTCATCAGGAATCGGTGATGATAGATGTACAATTGGCTGCACATCCGCATCTCAATACACTCCAAAGAATTCAGTACGCGCAGTAGATACAATTAAATGCAAAAACATATCCAGATAAAGTGCCCTTATATCGAGGCACTCAAGCTTACTGGCCAGTGGTTCAACCATTAGCTGAGCCTTCACTGGACAGGTCCAGCAATCCTCGAAGAAATCCTTAAGAATGCGCCGACTCAATGCGGTCTTGCTAATTGCTCCAATGATTTGCAAAAATGGATCATTGCCAAGGGGCTCACCTAGTTATAATAGTAAGTACCAAGGTCTCGACACCAAGATTTCGAGTACAGTTGCAACTCACCACCACGCATTCAACACCAAAGATTCAATCTATCAGTCCAATAACCTGCGAGGAGTCATACGTCTTGAAATGCCGCTGGTAGGGTAAGAACGGCCCTCAATTCAGCGGGTTGCATATCTTCGTCGAATACTCAAAAGCCCCAACGCCGAGATATTATCGTATTCGTCCCGTTTTACAAGGAAGCGAAGCGTACAGCTCTATAACCCGATTCGTAGGTCCATGCCCATCAGAGAATTGCAGCGCCCAAGTATTTAAACCAATCGAGTGCAATTCGAGCAGTCACCTATCCCTTGTTGTACGCCAGTTAGGAAAAGTTTTGGAAGGACTCATAAACTCTTATTCAACTGTCTGCGTGGTATTCAAGGATCTCAAGAGCTGGAGGGGAAAATTAGAAAGAAGAAGAAGCTACAGTACATCCCAGGTTTTTAAGGTGGTGCGCGTGGTTCACGGTATCTCCCCTCCGATACTGATTCCTTCTGCAGAAGAAATCCAAGTTCGCAATGCAAGTCCGCTAACTCCCGTCAACTCGTAACGGTACGCGTGGCACACGTGGTGGGTGTCCCTGCCCTCCGAGACTGATTTCTTCTGCAGAAGAAATCCAAGTCCGTAGTCCTCTCATGTTCTGAACATCCCTCAGGCGACAGGGGCGATTCGGTCTCTCTGGAACTGGCTTCAGAGCCTTGGAACCATTTTTCATATAAACCTCTAAGGTACTGTACTCTCGCCAGCAGTGCGACAGCCGTAGTAGATTCAGACTTTTTACCGTTCGCTGAAATACAATCAACAATATGAGTACCATAGCCTCGTGCTCCTTCAAGCAGATCTGAATCATGTTGACTAGTTGATCCTATTATCTTACTAGCCTTATCCTCACCAGGACAAAATCCGCATTCATCCATGTATACTCGCGGTCTCAGCCAGGCCAACATTGTTGTCTCTCTTGCTTTCGGCTATGGTGGTCTGGTCCAGCTGCTGGCTGGCATGTGGTAAGTGGTTGCGCATCCCCCGTGATTTTTCCATGACTGGCATCATGCACATCGCATGAGGAACGCGGGTACTGATTATCCGCTCATAGGGAAATGGCTGTCGGCAACACATTTGGTGCTACTGCACTCTCCTCGTACGGTGGTTTCTGGCTCGCTTTCGCCATTGTCTTGACTCCCGGTTTTGGTATTGGCAAGGCCCTTGAGGTCACGGACGCAGAAGGCAGGATCACAGACGAGACCGCCTTACTCAACTCCATGGGTCTCTTCTTGATGGGATGGTTCATCTTCACCACCATTCTGCTTATCTGTACCCTGCGATCCACCGTTGCCTTCTTCTTGCTGTTCTTCTTCCTGGACTTGACCTTCCTGTTGCTTGGAATCTCGTACCTGGTCCGCCCCAATGGAGGACAGTACGTCGCCGTTCAAAAGGCTGGCGGTCTCTTCGGTTTCCTTGCTGGCTTTGCTGCTTGGTACAACGCTCTCGCCGGTCTGGTCGACAACAGCAACAGCTTCTTCATCGTTCCTGTTGCTCACTTCCCATGGTCTCCCACCGGTCGTAGCCGCCGCTCCAAGACCCAGCGTGAACTTGCTTAAGCAACGGCCCGTCTGGTTGCAAATTGCAGCATCTTGAACCGGAGCGATGAGCGCGCTTTGTCGCGTGTAATATGATGCCAAGGTTCAACTTGCACCTTCTCGCAAAGGTCGCCGTCCGCGTCATCGTGGAGGATCCTGTGGAGGGTTGCCACGGAAATCGCAGGATCGGAATCCGTTCCCCATTCTTCTCTCGCTTGCCTTTGCTCGGGACTTTCTCGTCCCATTTGATCACAGAGGTTTGTCCCACATGCGGCGTTCGTTGAAACTGTTGTTCTTGCCATTCTGCTGTTGAGATTCCTTTGGTATGATTTCTGCTGCAATGGAGGCCTTCGCGAAAAGAAAAAGTCGACCTCTTTTGACGCTGGGACTGGGAATGTAATCTTTTTGCCCCTTTGTCATGATCACTGTACTTCATTAATAATCCTTTCATCAGACTTTACTCCTTTCCACGTGTAGTGACTGCTTTCGTAAGTCTTAGGTGTTCTAAAATCATGTTGTGAATTAGGCGCGGTACAATACGTATGTCTCGCAGCTTAGATTCAAGCTGATCGCACCAGTACGGTAGAGTCAGAGTACTAAGATTACATAGGCCATAGATGAAGAGCAAGATCCTCGCGACTTGCGCGATAGGCGATATTTTTTACAATCGAGAATAAGGTACTTTCTATCTTCAGCTAACATTATCATGGAAATTCCAAGCGGAACAAGATTGCACTATTACTTGGAATAACCCTAATAACTTTGATGATCCTTCTCGGCCATCTCTCCTAGACATGCAATTTAGCATGGCAAAGACCGGTCCAAAGGAAAAGATATTATTACGAGCTTGAGGCAGCCAAGAAGTAGAAGAAAGATAGACTGTGAGGTAGAAAATTGATCTGGATTCTGAAGGTCAGAGGTAGAATATAGATTGAATTGTTTTGAGCTATGGGATAGCTCTAAACTCTTAGAAAAGATGGCTGTATTAAGTGACCAATTTACTTCTTCCAGACTATGCGCGGTGTTTCATCACCTTTTCTAGGGCTTGCAGAATTTAAGTTAGAAAAAAGGCAGAATTAGTGGGTATTATAGGCGGTTGGTATACGTACCCAGAGACCCAAGCTCACAGATGCACTGCATGTGGAAATACAGAATTCATGGAACCATAGGACTCGAGTAAGGGCCCGGAATAGGCACACTCCCATAAATGGTCTCACCGGGAGCCGCAGGCACGTGGAGCACCTGGATTTGAGTAGGCGAATCGCGCGACTTGGGCACTGACACCATCGCTAACTGACCTTGCTGTTGCTTTGGCATAGACTGTTGACAGTGACTGGGGTCCCGCCCCTGAAGCGAGGACAGGAACGAGGACATAGGTCGCATGAGCAAGTGAGCCGAGGCAAACTGGATAGACGGCTCCGCTTGCCTCTCTTTTGCTAAGCGTAAAGAGGCAGTAAAGACAGCATACGGCGACTTGCCTGGAATGCTCGCGCGGGAAGGTAATGCAAAGGTGTTGGATGTGGACTGTAAGTCAAGGTCAGGGCAGGCCTTGCCACAATCATCCATGGCGCCCATGAGAAGCCGTTTGGACCAGACACGGTATGCAACAACGACGTAAACGAGCAAGACAACGAGATTAATGACAATTCCCATGAATATTAGACAGAGACCCCATTCCTATGGATATAGTTAGTCCAATGTTCCTGCACCTTCGTGGGCTGTACAAACCTGCAGAACACAAGGTACGGCGTGACTGATGGTACTGGAGTACAACCGTTTCTCAGTGTTTCGCGTGAAGAACCCATCCCATATGTTCTGGTCGTTGCTAGCTGCTCTATGTTTCTGGTCACTCGAAGTTACAATAAATGGCATGATAAGGTTGCGGGCGACGAATTTGATCAAGAGAAATGTTTTAGTAAACGGTGATCTTCTCAGCCTATGCACCTTTCTAATAGCACAAGAAAACCACTAACCAGTTGAAAAGGAGGAAGAATTAGCTCAAAGAGAAATTTTGCGCTCAGGAGCTAGTGCCTTTTGCCCAGCTCGACAAAGTGTTGCGTGATGGAAAGGGACTCGGTTGCTTGGAAGATAATTAGAGCTGTGGCAAGCAGACCATGGTAATCAGACTGCGAGAGGAAATGATACCGCGAACATACAGTGTACTCGTAATGCATATTCGTACTTGATACGCCGGACGCCTAGCAGATTCAAACAAATGTCTTGCGTCAGGTTGCCTTCCTAGTTAAAAATACTCCGCGGTCTGAATTGTCGCTTTTTCCTCGCGATTCTCCGAATCGTGCTCTTCTCTATACCTAATTGATTTACTAAGACGTGTATGAAAACACCAGTACTCACTGAGCTACGGTGTCTTTCCTCACGAATAAAATCGAAAAAATGTCGAAGTTAGGTAGTAGAGTACGATTATGATCATTCTCGTCCTATCGATCATAAATTCAAACTAACAAGAGCTCATTATTATGCGATATTCCTGATCCAGAAATACCCATACACCGCCTCGTTGTCGTCTTAACTCAAGCATTTGAACCACGGAAAAACAAGACGTCTTTCCGTCGAATTGGCTGGGCATACTTGGGACGATGAAATTGTGTCCTTCCGGGAGGCTCTCATCAACATTGAAAAGTATGACTCCAAAACTTATAACACCGACAAAATTTGACCGTACAAATAGCCAATAGCAAGCGATGAAGAACCAAGGTAATTGCTCTTATCACTTCACAGAGGAAGAGTTAAAGAGTCATGCTGTAGATGCAGAAGGTTGGAATGAAGTTCGAGACTTTTTTGATCGCATCGAGGACCTTGTGAAGAGAGATGGCTGGACCCACCCGGAAACGTTCGATGTTGCCTTTGATTTCTTCTGCGACCTCCCGAAATTAGGTCTCAGGCGCATGAAAGGCCGAGAAAGAGAGATTTTCGACAAACACACCAGCTAGGCGAGAGGTCATAATTGAGACTCTACACCGACCAGGCTGGCTCTTGTCCCAGAGAATGGCTTAAGAGCGACATGTCTGTATTTAGCGCTACAGTAGCACCAGCCATCGCCTTCCATGTTGGAGACAGAAATGCTCTATTATACCATCATTACATCATCGAAAAATATCACGTTTTATATATACTCACCATAATACAAGCTCCTCTTGTAGTTTATGAAACGATATAAGAACCTGAAATAAGACTCCGACCCTATCCACTTACAAGTTGCTGCACCGTACATTAGTAATGTAAAACTTGGTCACTTATTTACTCAAGTAGTCACTTACAGTAGATAACTATTGAATGACAAGAGGCAAAAGGGATGGATTCTTCTAAGGATGTGAACTACTTCGGGTGGCGATAGCTACTCGATGGGGTCACGTGTACATCTAACAGTGTATCACGTGTATGGGACGCGGTCCCGCGTCAATAACTGTTATGTGGTCCGCAACTACTTAAGGGCCGACCTTGCCCACAATAATCGCCCGTTTCTCTGTTCTCGGCAACGAAGCCACCAAGAACGGACTGTGCACGATCTCCCTCCTTTTTTCAGCTGTATGCTTTATTGCGTCTGAAATACTAGATCGAGATGTTTGTCCATCCATTGTCAGCCGACGCATAGCCTTTAATCCTTTTTCGTGCCGAGTGCAGCAGCAACAGAAGCTTCAGTGAAGGCTACTTATGTGCAGGGAGTACGCCCGCCCGAGACCCACCATCAAGGCAAGAATTCGATGACCACCTCTCTTGGCAACCGAAACCCACGCACTTCCTATCCTTCGGCACTTGGAGGCGGGCCGTGCAGCGACGCAAACAACTAGAGAGTGAAAAGAAAATTAATGTTGTTGTGATTGCCATGTGGGCACAGGGTTTGGCAGGCATGTATAGTGCAGAGGAAGCTGCATTCGAGCTTGGATATTCTGATACAGGCCTGGATAGGGACAGAAAGCTACGGCACCACCGCGACGAATACCTCCTTGAAGGCGGTATTGCGGCTGATGAATATCGTATTCTTGCCGTCTTCGGGGGTGGAGGGCTCGAGCATAATGTCGTCTTCGAATGCCCTTTTTCGGATAACAACAACGATTCCAAGTGGACTCTTCCTTGGGCGGAGATCGAACAATGCACTGGAGGATATAGAGTATGAAATATACAGTCGTTTTGGAGTTTGTGACGACATGAAGTGAGATGAACTTGTGAAGGCAATCACTGGAAATCAACAGATGGGAGCCCACGGCCCCACGCCAAGCAAGACCCATTTTCCAATGGCGCACCTGATTCCACCACCACATTGCCTGAATTCGGAGTCAAGCATAGGATGGCTTGTCAATCAAGTGGCGACGAAAACTTGGCAACATGAGGTTATATCACGGTTCGCGTAGGCTCCGGACTTATAGGAGATTGATTCATTGACAGGATGGTCAAGAATTGTCACTACAATATGGACAGAATAGGCGGGTGAGATCCCACGTGAGGATGGGATAGGATGTCAGAGGCGATGAAGCGCCTGTCTCCCCCCAAAACTTGTTCACGAACTTAAGACAAGCCAGGGGACTCAGTTGGACAAAAAATAGTAAGATTGGTCTGTTATTTTGAGTGAATATTTACATATACCTGCGTATTAGTGAAAGGAGAAAGTACCTACGATTTCACCCTTGTCAAGGCTTCCCGTTCTCCCTCCCTCCAACGTATTTCCTACCCATCTTTGACTGTCTGCCTCGGCGTCAGGCTTATATCCATACCATCTACCATCGGTCGTTGGTTGTAGTCAATTCTCAATCAGCCAGCCTATCGTAGATTTCCCCACCTCATTAGTTGATCAATTCACGGTTGTGAGCACTCGTCATCTCCATGATAAACGTAGGAGTTGAGAGCGAATTGACATCCATGTAACATCAGTATCACATCTTCACTAATTTGGTGAATATGATAAGGGTTGTATAACGTTATCTGCTTTTAGCATCTCTAACAGTTCTAACCCTCTTTCAAGTCGCAAGCACGTATTCCTCACGCGCACATACCCGAGGAAGAAGTTACGACACTTACTCATTCCTAGACAGACAACGTGGTTTGATATCCAGCAATGAACACTCATCTCTAACTTTTACCGCGTCGCGAGGTAATTATCACAAGTTATCGTTGGTTGCTTTAAGGAAGTCCGGACATTAATAGGTAGACAGCTGGTGGTTAGTGGTCACCAAATAACATGGTGCGGTAATCGTCAAAAAGGCGCCAGGCAAATATGGAAAATCTGAAAAATGGGCACATTCCACCTCGTCATTGGGGTAAAGAATACTGAGGCATTTCAAAATCGGCAGCTATGGGTGTACCTCCAGGTATCTACAATACCTACAATAAGGCCTCTTCTGACATACCGAGTACTCATTACAGATCTTAGTGCCCGTGTTGTGATGATCGTGTGCAACGTAGAGATTTGAGATATTACATCGCAACTGCTAAACATACCCGTGTTGGCCTCGAGTTGGTGAGAAGAGGGGCATATCGCGCATGAGCTTGTACAGGGATGTTCCACCAGAAGGCTGGCGTAGCCGACGTCTGAAAGATGTTACGAGGTCAGATTCCACAATTGCCCTCCGACAGACAGTCCGGTGTTTACGATGGCTTCCCCGATGCCGTGCTCGAGCATTCATTCTATTGGCATTCATACCGAACCCCCGCGCGGAACAGTCGCCGGCAACGGCCAGCATAAGACTCGACGGTGTGGCGGAGGAACATCCCCTCGAGCTCAGACCTGACGTTTGGTTTGCTCGAAACACCAAAGTTTTTGTTAACGGGTTGTCTCTCACTCCTGCTTGCATACAGAGCACGCGTTTGACTCTGGCATCAGTTCACTTTGTGAAGATTTCGGTCATTAGTGCGTCGTACGTCGGAAGCCATAAGGGACAAGCTATGGTACGCACGGCGGCATACGAGCAGGGAAAGATAAAGGCGTGTAGGTCGTCTGGTATGTATGGACTTTCATGCAAATCATTTTTGTTCCGGAAACGATTGCCTTTGACGCAGCAAAGAATGGTCAGCTGGTCGTTGGCCGCAACGACGTAGCCCTTCAATAGAGTATACTCGATATAGAAACAGCTATCATAGTAAGCCTGCGCTCGGCGTCGGCGTGCTTCTATTGGTCGATGTAAGATCCGTCCTCCACCGGGTGAGTGTCCTTAGACTGTCCACCTCTCTAGGATCGAAATAGTAAGGTCAATCCTTGGATTTATTACGTTCGTCGTTTCGAATGTGATGAGATACGGCTATGGTAGGGGTAGCAGTATCGATGTGTGAGAGGGATGAGGAGTGAGATTGCTGAGGGGGAGAGATTCTACCTAAGCTATGGACTGTGGTGAGTGGCAGAATCACATGCCATGCAAACAGTATAGAGGGCCATTTAAATACACCCATTTCTTCACCTACCGCCTTGTCGGTGGGGCCCGGAAAGAAAGTGAGAGTGTAAATTGGTGAAGCTGGTTTTGCAGGTGTCTGTAAGCTAAGCCCACGACTTATAATTAATTTACTAATAGCTGGCAGGAATGCGGGAGGTTAAGTTATGAGCTGGGACGGGACAGCTACGGTGTCCTTAGGTTGTCCACCTCGCTAGGACCGAAACGGTAAGATTAATTTGGGCATTTACAGTGACGGGTCATAGGTTTGAGCACCCCCTAGCCCCACATCTCCTACACCGCTCGCCATACAGCCTACCGCCTGCCATATACGCGTTGTAGAAAACACGCTAGAGCGCGTGTGCCAGGAAGAGTGTAGAGATCATCTAGATCAGTGGAAATAATACGTAGAAATCAATTCCTACCTACCTACCAACCTACCTACCAACCTACCTACCTACCAACCTACCTACCAACCTACCCACCTACCAACCTACCCACCTACCTACCCACCTAGGCATGGGTCGGTCTAAAGAGCTTACACCTCACCTACGCGCGCGTATATGCGAGCTATACGATATTGGCTGGGGATATAAGCGTATTCATAAGCGATATCCTTGGATCTCTCTCTCTGGGATACGCTATACGATCAAAAGGGCCCCAGATCGACTGGATAGTGTTATATCGAAGCCACGCAGCGGCCGGCCAAAGAAGCTTACTGAATCTGACAAAACGCGCATCCTTGAGGTTATTCATGATAATCCACGCGTTACCCGGGAAGATCTCCTGACTGAGGTTGATCATAGGGTTAAGATCCGATCGATTCAACGGCTTTCAAACGCAGAAAATATGCGTAAATGGCGCTGTTTATGGCGGCCCTACCTCGATGAGGAACACGCATCAAAACGGCTTCAGTGGGCGTATCGCTATCGCGAGTTTACCCCTACTGATTGGGCTCGTGTATTCTGGTCTGATGAATGTACTGTTGAGCGTGGTATCGGTATACAACGCGAATGGACCTTTATTCGCCCTCGAGATCAACCACGTATGAATCACTGTCAGGGTCTACCGCATCGCGGTAAGCAAGTTAAGCAGATGTTTTGGGCTGCATTCTCGGCTGATCGCCGAACAGGCCTAATACCCCTATTCGGCGATCCTATCTCAGAGCGTGGTGGTGTTAATCGATTCGTGATCGAGGAGTTATATCGGCGTGTGCTACCAACGTTACTATCTACTGAAGATGGTATATTTATGCATGATAACGCACCAACACACACAGCTCGTGTAGTACGCGAGGCCTTAGATGATATGCAGATCGAGGTAATGATCTGGCCACCTCACTCACCAGATCTCAATCCAATTGAGAATCTATGGGCGCTCCTGAAAGCAGAGATCTACAAGCTTAGGCCTGATCTGATGCATATGAAAAATAACGAGGATACCAAGCAAATCTTAGTTGATACAGCCCAAATCGCATGGGAAAATATCGATATGGAACATCTTCAGCACCTCTCTGGTACCATGCCTAATAGGGTGCAAGCGATTATCGATTCTAATGGGTGGTATACACCATACTAGTTTTGTCACGGCGCAAGTCATACGTGGTGACTCAAGACGATTCACGATCGAATCGACCCCGCGTCGTCTTAGGGTAACAACCCCAAGAGCTCTGTGTGGGGCTGTGGGGACTCGGTACGTGGAACCTCTATGTATATATTGTGGGAACTGGTGGAGCCTACCAGACCCCAAGATTCAGTCTTTGAAATCAGACCCCATAGACTTGGACGCTCTGCCTAGCCAACAGGTCCTCTGTCCTGCGATACAGACCCCTTAACAAGTTTATGCAGCTGATATTGAATGCAAATGGTGATTCTGGCGGAGGTTTCTTGACCGGCTGTATAATATAATCAGTAAGTGTGGGGCTAGGGGTGCTCAAACTTATGACCCGTCACTGTATTACGGTCGTCGTTTTGAAAATGTTGAACTCTCAAAGTAAGATTCCATTCGCCTTTACTTTCCGACTCAAAACTTCAATTTTCCAAGTCACCGGTCTTGCTCCTACTCCAGGCAACCTATCCTCTATAGTCGGATCGTCAGCCTCATGAAATGACTCCACAAAGCTAGTATCTGATTGTTCTAAAGGGCCTTAATAAATATACATATTATATTAAATAAATAATAGTGCTGAAGTTTAGAGAACTTCTGAATGAAGTTTTGGTGTTCTCGGTCGGGAAGGCAGTGGGCGGTAAGGAGTAGCAAAAAACGGTTCCGTCTCTTTGCAAGTACAGAATCGATACAAAATGACAGTACAGTCACGTGAAAATTAGAGCTCAGCTTTTCCACCTTGGTCCTAACGAAGTGGACAACCTAAGGACACCCGGGTCGGGAGTGGGCTGGCTGATGAGCTGTAATCACTTTACTATTTTACAGTGAATTTAAGGATAATTTGGTCTATCTCAAGTATTCATAACTTATAAATACCTGAGATAGCTCCAGCCAAATTAGGCCACTTTCCTTTTGACCGCTTTGCCAAGGCTTACGCCTTACCGGAATGAGCATATGTAAAGATTTTGTAAACTTTCGCTTAGACTGCCCATCGTAAGATAGTCGCGAACACCTCCATGTGGTGATTTGATTGTCATGAATGATAGCTAGGTTATAGTGGACAGGACAACGACCAGACCCACTTCGAGTAGTGTAGTATGTTATTCGGGTTTAGACCTTGCTAACGAGCCGAGCGGGCCGGACTTTTAGGCTCGCGTCCGCGCGCGAGCCGAGAATCTAATTAGGCTCGTGCCCGCGAGCCCTAAAACCGGGAGCTCTAAGCTCTTACTCGCGAGTCTTACCATATAACATTATCAGGGAGCTACGGAAAACGTAGCACTGACCAAAAGAGGGGAGAAAGGGATGGTGAGATAGTAACTGGTGAGAGATGCTATCTAAACTTCTGGCTTGTGGTGGTGTGCGTAGGCGTGCACCACGCTGGTGTGACGCGCCGGACCACCAAGCTATCTCAACATGAATAAAAGACCCAGAGTGTATATAAATAAGTTCCGCTCCAACATTCTGTTTGCATGGTATGTGATTCTGCCGCTCACCACACTCTATAGCTTACGTAGAATCTCTCCCTAACAGCATTCTCACTCCTCATCCCTCTCACACATCGATACTGCTGCCCCTACCGTAGCCGTATCTCATCGTTTTTCCTATTCACCTTTATATGTTTAAGATTGTCGCGTCCTTCTGTGTTGGTATCATGGTTAGCTACCATCATGAGTTGAAATTTTATTTCAGGCTTTGAATTGCAAGTGTTGTGGACCACTTGGAAATATTGACCATCTCTGGGATCTCTGGGCGCGATGACCGTCTTTTCAAGTCACAAGATATTCTTGAGACTAGCACAGGTCTATGAAGAGGTATTAGTGGACGGAACCGATAGGGTACTCGAGGTCGTCATTATAGGGCGCAAAAAATCATACGTAATCTAATTAATTTCTTTGCCTTTCTAATTTTACATGGGACGATTTTCCACGACGCGGCTAGCGTCCCTGGTCATGCGCATCCTAATACAAACTGAAATGGTATTCTTCCAACTATCTTCTGTTCGAAACCTGATATTATTAGAACCGATCTTAGGCACGAAAACAAGGTATAAAGTATGCCATTCCCTATTCTACGTAGCAGACTATTCCGGCTCAAAACACGCCTGGTCCCGGCTATTTGACTGAGGTCTTACGAAGGAAAACCCATGAAGGTGAAAACACTCGACGTTGACTAGGAGAGAAGGAAAAAGGAAGCTAAGCTAGACTACTGAGGTTGGTGGTCCCAGGTGGTGAGGGCGTAGCCCATGTGTGTGCCAGGCAGTATGGCAGGCCTCACCACAAACACCTGCTGCAATCATGGCGCTCGGAGGGACATGCGAACACTGCGAGAAACAGGTCAGGTACACCAACCAGGAAGAGGGGATCCGCCAGGAGCGTTCTTAGTGGAAATGGCATATTGCGAGTTACCTTCCTCCTGCACGGATTAGTACACGGTTTTAAAATTTCTGCGATAGCTCCTACGCTTGGTCTAACAAGACTAATGCAAGGGAAGCTTCCTGCTTTTCCCGCCGGCCCTAGATCGTCTATCAGTCACAGGCCCTACACGAGAAAATATGATCACAGTTGTAGTCGCCTTCACGCTGACTGCTATTGGATTTCTGCCAATCTTCTTTGTGCCATTTGCGGAAACAAGACAACATATCTCGATCATCTGCAATAGGTATTACTGATATTGATACGCTCGGTTTTCGCCGTGATTAACATTATTCGGTAGAATTTGTTTAAGTGCAGACATCCTCGGAATCCTGAATATTGGACTGCCCCTGGTATACGGGATGCAAAGAAGCATGTTCATCACGGCGGTGCTTGTGATCGCAGGATGACAGGGCCTTTGTTTTCTTTTAGCAGAGTTTCTTCTTTCGCAATCGGCTGGCTCGAACAAGACGATGCTTACCCTATTCCAGCGTTCGAATACCGCGAGGAAGCAATTTCAGCACTTGAGCGTTCAAGATGTGTCGCCGGATCACGGTTCGGTGCCCAGGAATACGGATTCGTCACAAAATGTAGTCTGGGCCTGAAAGTTGCAGTTGATATCCATTCTTATTGCTTGAATTATTACACGACAGTCAACATTGCAAGGACTGGTCATGTGGTCCCACTTTTTCGACAAAATAGCTCAGATAGATTATCGTATCTTTTCATCGAATTCAAACTTCGATGATGCTGAAGTCCTGAGAGAATGAACCACCTCGGTACAGCATACCAAAAGCCCGAGCTCTACTCAGGAATCACTCAATTCTCATTAGACTTCCGAGAAAGGGGGGCGCAAGGGTCATAATGACGACGTGGCTAATGTGGTTCCTGCTCCAGTGAATTCCTATCTTACAGGCACCGACACCAAAAATCCAAGGTCACGCGAAGAATACTCGTCATGTACAAGGAAACAATCAAATGGAATGAAGTTTATGTTGGATTGAAAGCGAATTTTACCTACATGGAGGCGAGAGACTCTTTTCCTATTATCTAACACAGTAACATAGTACCCGCTTCATAGAAAATTGGCCGAAGGGGTTCTTTTAGTGCTGCTATAGTAGTTGTGACGCTGGCGGGCTAGGCTTTCGTATAGGGGAGAGAGGAAGAGTGGGAGTAGTGTTAGGCGAAGGGGCAAAATAGACACGTAGGGGTCAAAAGATGGAAAGAAGAAAAACCGCGAAGAGGTAACCTTTAGACCTTCACCCTCCACTTGACTACTAGCACTGAGAGAAAAGAGGTGATTCCTGCCAAAACTCGGCCCGGTAGCTAAACGGGAATGTCTCGATTTTGATTTTGTAAAGATTGTGAAAATCACTCTAGATAACTCCGTCATGTGATTTTTGGGGGAGATATGCCGACCGAGAAAGACGACTATAAATAGAAGACTCTTTTGGCGGCAATACTTATATCTAGAACGTGCGTCAAGCCGAAGAGAAGATAAACTCCTCATATCATTTAAAACAACCTGAAGGCTACGAAGTTAAGGCACACTGCACTTACACTATGGCCCTGCTTCATGTCGCCGCATGGGAGGGATATCTAGGCTTACACTTGGTGAAAGATAATGATATAACACCGGCCTCCGAAAAGGCCACAACAGCCTATCCCAATGATGAAAAGCTGTGAAGGAAAAGGATCGGGAAACAGCCCGATGACACGAATCTCATCGAGAACGTTTCCATAATAATGGTATCTCAAAGCGACTATGTAAAGACGCAACATTGCGAACAGCTCCACAAATGTTCAGAACCATAACGGCTTGTGTTTTCAGAAGTGCGAATGACTTGTTTGAACGGAATATTATATGTACGGGCGATCATCAAATCTAAATTCCTCGAAAAAAAGAATGGGTTCGGATATGCGTATCTGTTCCTTGATAGTGAGTGCTACGCCTTGTGGGTTCCTGCGCCGTGTGGATCCTTTTCAGCGGCTAAGCTATCTGAGATGAAGAGCTATGAATGAGTCAAAAAAAGAATATCTTAGTTGGATGGTCCCTCACTATAAGCCTCCAACCGTGTCTCAAATACGCCTCTATCTTCAACAGAGAGGTGGCCTTGCCACAAGGGACAAAACGAAAGAGCTCAAAGATTTGATTCGCAAAAGTGAATTCGAAGATCTGACGGTCTTTAAAAATTGTGACAGACTTAGTCCTGTATGATTTCAGAGAGGTTGCTGAAGATGCTGTACAGCGCATTGGAAAGCCAAGCAAAAAGATACCATGCGACACGATGCGAGCTGGTGAGTACCTCAAGCTCTCAAAATTGTCCATAACCCTCACCTGAACGAATCGGTTGGCTTAAAATATTCTAGTCAATCAAGACATATCGGGATGATTACATTCTTGGCTTCTGGTGTCGTGTATGCGAGCAAGTTAATCAACTTCAGACAGAGCAGAAATTCTTCCTAGACAATGTTTCATCCGAGTTGGTATACAGAATCCAGGCCCGTATACCCTCGGTTTCCAAAGAAGATGCAGACGAAATCAAGGTGATTTTTCCTTCC